ATGGATTATATCTTTAGAAAGATCATCTGGATTGGCAACTTACTCACATGAAGAACTACTGTTATCAACGCTATTCAGTACTATTGTTGGTGCAACCTCCTTCATGTATATTCACTTGTATTTTTTAGTATAGACTAAGAGAACATCAACAGTTCATAACTAAATATTAAAAAATTAGGAAGTGTTCATGAAGGTTTAATTCTGTCCACCATTGTATATACTTTTTTTGTTATTCTCCTTAGTTCCGTGATCATTTGTGCCACTGTAACAAAGACTTGCCCATTCAAATGAGTTACTATATAACTTATTTCTGTTAAAGTGCTTCTTATCAAAGAAGGCAAAGGACCACATGCAGTAGATGTGCATGTCCTTGATTTGTGCAGTATGGCCTCCATTCTACATGCTGCCCTGGAGGTACGGACATTATGCAGCTAAATCAGCCACATATTTACAAGACTGCGGTTAAGACTAAGATGCAGTTTGCATTCAAACAGCCTCCTTCTATTTTAAAAAGTTCTAAAAACATTTTTGTTAATTATATGTCACATGCAGAACACATAATGGTGTAGCAGAAACCATTTGCTTGCACTCTTTTAGAATGATTTGCATAACATATTTGTAGCTTCTGTTATCTCAGCAATATGGTCATCTCAAAGTCAAGCAGACTAAATCACTGTTTGCCATTCACTTACCACCAAATCACTGCATCACTGTGGGTTTTGTTCCACTGTTTAAATTGCAGATGATATGCTATTAAAAATAGTAGTAGGAAATGAAAGTAAAATAAGCCCAAAGTCTTTTACTTTCCAGGTACTGTTTTTTATGTAGAACTGGTGAACTTTGAACTTACAAAAGGTTCTCCTGTATAGCTTACATAGTGAAGTTTATATCCATAAATAATCTTATTTTCTTTTCACCATAAGAAAGCATTGAAGTAGGCCCAAAATAAGCAACTAAAATCTCAGGTTTGTTGTACCAGTCAGACAGTAACCAGGCAAAGAGCAAAGAATTATGGAGGGGTAAGCACATCTTAATACCACTTACAACTTGCTACCATTTAGTACCATGTCTCTGTTGGTGTAACTGGACATACCAGCTCAAACTGTGCAGAGAGAAAACAAACAAGTAAGCACAGAAGTGGACTGTAAATAAAATTATCCCTGATCAGCTGAGAATTTTTAACATCATTTTTGGACATGTGGAATTAGCCCATCAAATTCTACACCTTGGTTCAGTCAATAATTTAACTTCAGTTTATTATTCAGTTTCAGCTTTGATCTGAATTCATCAGTACTTTATTGATTTTAAATTGAGTAGCTATAGGGTTGTCTTCTGTGTTGCTCTCTTAATTAATTAAAAAGTTAAACACTGTCATAAGTCACTGTGCTCCTTTGTTTTAAAATGTTTTGAGTGTTGTAGTAGAGTTGTGTGGATCTGTTTGTGATTTTGCCTGTTGCCAGCCAGTATTTACGTAAGGCTAAACTGAAAAATCTAATGATCATACTTAGCGGCCCACTGTCGCAGTACTTACCCTGCTCCATATAAAATCAGTCTTGCAGTTTTTCACGGTCTCAGCCAAAATTATGCTTACCGAAATGAGAAATAGCCAAAATCTTCACTAGCATTGGCTATAGATACATCTATTTATTTTTTCTCTATATTAATTTTTGAGTATAGGGAAGTGGAACTGGTTTCAGACATTTTTAATCATTGCAGTAAGCCTGATTAGCTGATTAGGTTTTTTCGATTATAGCATTAGGTCTCTAGCCTAAGGAGACCTCTCAGGTAGAATAGTCTTCCTTTAGAATTCATGTCGAGAAAAAAAAAGTGTCATTAAATACAAAAAAGCTCTGAAACTTGTATCATAAAGCTTAACTGCGTAGGATGGTTTTCTTCTCTGTCAAGCTGCCAAAAAAAAAAAAAAAAAATTTTTTTAATTAAAATTACCAGCTTTACCTTTGCCTGATATTTCTGTAATGTAAATGTATGTGAGTACTGTGCTTACTTCCTTAGAAGATCAGGAAATAATCACAGTCTCCAAACTCCTATCATTGTCTTTCTGGATCTGAAAAAGCAAATAGCCAGAAAGTGATGAAATTATTCTTAACTAAGATTTCATATAGGCACGGCCTATTTAGCATGATTCCATGCAGGCATGGCCATTATAGCTTTCCATTCCTTGAACAGGTAGTCAGCTTGAAGACTGGTTTCAGATATTTGTATAGTATATGCCCAGTCTTTTGTTCTTATAATTTTTCCCAAATCCCTGTGAGTACTTTTCAAAGGAAAACTCTAGCTTCATTTTCTGTTTCTCAGTATGCATGTTGATAATGAGATTTATTCTTTACGATCTAAGTATTTACAAACACAAAAAGTTTTGGGTTTGTTTTTTTAGTTGTGAATTTTCATGTTAAATATACTCTTTAAGGAGCTAATCTGTACTTTTCTGGTGTAGTGGTATTAATGGCATATGTTTACCACAATTCAGCCATTTTAAAAAATGGCTTTTATATTTTATTGTTCAGTGAGTGTCAGGCCCCAATACTGAAATGGAGAGTTTGAAACTAATAGGGTTAAAAGGACTTCGACTGTCTGTATTGTGTGTGTATTATACCTACATTGCTTATACATTGTTTTTTTCCCCCTAGTATTAGCAATCTGCTTTTGTACTTTGACATAGGGATTTCCCTTGTGAATTTTGTCACAGAAAAAAGAGAATCATCAATATCGCAGTTAAACTTGACTTTCAAAGCTAATAGTATCTCATTTGGGGACTGAAATTTAATAAATTTTCTTTGATTCTGGGTGAGTTTTTAAACATCAAACAATGAATTGGCCAGGGTGCAGTAAAATATTTAGATCTATTGACTACGGTTCAGAAGGGTAGAAGGCAAAACACTGGTGGTTTGATGTTGATAAATTCTTAGTACCTTAATCCACATTAATGTTTTCTTTTATCTGTGTGCATATTGGCAGCAAAGACACTGAAAAGTTGGGATATATAAGCTATAAAAATGTAAATCAAATGTATGTATGTGTGTGTATGTGTATATATATATATATATATTTAAAGTAATGCATTTTGTTATATTCAGCAAGGTTAACATCTGACCGGAATTACACATGCTGACAGAACACTCTAGAGAGTATGTTTGTTCCACAGGACTGTATATCCTGAACCTAGTGCACTATGTGTGCAAAAAATGTGTAGAGGACCTTTCCTGTTATAAAAATTGCATCATAGTGCATATGTTTGGCAGCCACAGGTATTGACAGGAATTCTTTAGGTCAACTTGGGAAATGTAGGGCTCCCTATTCCCACAGAATAGAGCAACAAATAAAATAAAATCTTTTCTTCTTTGTATCAGTAGATTTACACATGCATACTTCTTTCAGTCAGAGCAGATTTCAAAGGCTGTGCTATTATTTGAAATATGTTCACTCCTGAGCAACATTTTACAAAAATTAATTTTGTAAGTGGTTACAAAAAAGTAATTGGGATTTAAAATGAATGGACATGTTTTAATTCATGTTTGGTGAGTTCTTTTGGGCAAGGGAGGCTCTAAGAAAAACTGAAATTTATTTTAAAGAGTATTTAGTAAATGGTGTATCTGTTGATTTATATGTATTTAGTATATATTTAGCATATGTTTTAGTATCAGACTGTTCATTGTTGTTAAAGACAGTAAATTATTTTTGCAGTACTAGCTATTGCTACTCAACAGACAGAGTCTATGCCAAATGAATGTATTTCATCTATTCATTTATAGTAACATATATTTGTATGTGTGACTATCCATCTGTATTAGAATCTAACCTGACTACTGGGACCTCGTGGAGGTAGACATGATAATTTTTGTATTAAATAGAATGAAAAATGGGTGTGCAGCAGCACATGGTATCTGAATGTAAGTGATGTGTCCATGGAAGTTCTGTGTTAAATACATGTAATTTCACAGCCATGCTGATAGACTAATTACATGTTTTAATATGTGGAAAAATGTTGCATTTTAAATAATGATAACAATATTTGTCTCGTGTTCAACACTAGTAAGTCTGGCTGTGTTTAAAGACAAAAGCGTTAATCACTACGTTGCTGAGAGTTTTACCTATGCGTTTGTACCACTCCGAAGGCACGCGAGTTTTTAAATTAAAACCAGTTTCTCGCTTAGTCAGCAGGTGGCACTGTGACACCAACGGCCTTTGGTGATGGTTGTGGCCGTATGTAGAAATGGCATTGCTACTGCTTGGGGGTTTTGTTTCATCCTTTCTTTTCAGACTGCCTGCAAAACTAACTAAATATCAAACTGTCTGAATTTTGTGCAAATTGTAGCATTTCCCACTCCAACTTGGCATAGTTAGAAACTGTATAAAAGTCGATTAATACCAATTAGTGCATTATTTCTTACAGTGAGTCCACAATAAGAAATCTTATAGAAGGTTTGGGTTTTTTTCTCCTTCTGTTAATTGCAGAGCTACAGGTTGGTTTATTTTGCTTTGTTTGAGGATTATTCATTTTAATGTGGGGTTTAACTGAATTGATATTAAATGAACCTTATTGTGGAGGACTGATATGATCTCCCTACAGTAGACAGAACTCTCATGCCAGCTTCTTGTTTGTATGATCACATGAACTTTTTAATTTCATAGCTGATGTTTGTTTGAGTCAGAAGTACAATTACTATTTCTTTTCTTATGAGGTTTTTACAGAGGACAGACCTGTGAAATGTATATACCAGGTGGTCTTGTGAGCCCTTAGTGTCTCTTCTTTCCTTCTCATTTCAGACCAGGGGAAGATGCTTTTTCTTCTTAACATTCTCTCCCAGCACTCTGAATTAGAGATTTATTTGCAACGAAAAATCAATTAGTCCTAAATTTATTCATGGATTTCAGGTCCAGCGATCAATGCAAGTCCACTCAGTGGGCTCAAGGGGACCCAGTTCATCCCAGTTAATGTGTCTGAAGGGGAATTACCATTGATGCTGTTTTTTTCCCTTTAGGTCAGAGATCAGACCTTGCTGTCACGGACTGCGGCAACCAGGAATGACTTCACCCTGCAGCTACCCAAACTGCACCTAGAGACCTTTGCAGTGGAAAGGCTGAAGGGCAGGCCAGAGGTTGTAGCATTTCAGGTTAGAGTCTAAAATAATCCTGTTTCTTTTTTTCCTTTTTTGCATCTGAGATAGAACAAGAAGCTAGACTGCTCTGAATGTGTGGAGAACAAAAAGCTTCAAAACTATTGCAGTCAAGAGTTGAAAAAGAAATAATTTCCATATATACTCTTGAATACAATATTTCAGAGATGATATGAACTTTTAATTTTGCAGTTACAATGTTTAATAACTGATGGGAATATGACCATGAAAAAATGCAAATGTTATATTTGAAAATTAATATCACTCAATTCCACCCTTCCTTTCCTCCCCCCCCCCCTTTAATTTAAGCAAGACAAATAAAATGGGGGGGGGGGGGGGGATTTTTATGCTGCTTCTTGGTCAGTATCAGATTTTTCCATATTACAGTTTTAGAAGTAATAGTTATTTTTGAGCATTCCTAATTTAAAAGAAACTGCTATTTGGAATACTTAAATATAGAAGCTGTTTGTGTAGGTTTAAAGACTTGTATGTTTCAAAATACTATTTTCATTAGGAGGAAACAATGGGGAAAAAAGAAAAGTGAACTGAAAATGTACATATTTTGAGCTCTGAAAATGGATTCTGTGCAATGCCTCCTTATTGTTTTTAAGTTTGTTACATCTTTTTGTACACAAACTGTCCCTTAGTCTTCATAGCTGTGCAGGATGACTTCATTCTTATGATACATTATTGCTAAAGGCAGAACATTTTGTTTTTGCAATGAGGGAACGAAAGGCAGAGTGAGTATGTATACTTCTTTCATTGTGCTCTTCTGTGTGAATCAGAGAGAGGAAAGCTAGTCATGTAAAGTGCAAGGAAGACAGACAGTACAAGTATTGCATAATGTGTGTACATTTCTGTAGTAATCCATTTTAATTTATTGTAGATTTTCTGTTCTAGATGCAGTATATAGTTGCAGGAACAGGGTCACAAAACAAACATTCAAGAAAGGCAGATTCTAAGCTGGACATTTCTCACTGTGGCCCTCTTGCATGCATGTGATTCAACATGATAAAGATTTAAATTATGTGGGTATTATTGTGTTTCCATAATAAAGTAGTAATGTGTAACACCTTGAGATTCCCATGAACTTTAATTAACGCAGCTGTATGTCTATAGCAGAGGGTAGAGTTGCAATTGTTTCCCCAGTACAGTGATGATCACTTTTAAGGCTGTGCAAAAGGTTCCACAGGTGGCATGTTTTCAAAGACGCTGTCATGGAAATCACCAGCTTTTAAATACTGCTTTTCTAAATTGGTGGCCCATTCAGTGATAGCTGCCTTTTTTTTGTCCCATCCCAACTCCCATTCTTTTTTACCCTAAGAACGATTGTGAGACAGCCTATTCCTTCTTTCTAAGAAGACGAAGAGAAACAGAAGTGTAACAAGTTGCATTTCATATTTGTACAGAGTGCTTGTGGTATAACTAACACATAGTAATGTATGCACTGGGTAGCTTACTGGTGGTGCAGTATTGTAAACATACTTTTTGTTCACCTTACAGCTCCAGTTACACGTGGTTACTTTGTATGTACACAAACAGCATCAGTGATTCACAGTCCATCTCAGTGTGCAGTTCCTTTTTGCCTTTCCTTTCCCCTGTCCTCTCCTCATCTCTAGTTATATAGTGCCTGTTTGATAACTTTCTTAGTACATTACAGAAATTTTATTATAAAATTTGCCTTTTATAGCTGGGAGTCAGCTAATTGATTTTAATTTCACTGTATGTGAAACTATATTAAGGACAATCCTGCAATCTTGAATGAGGTAAGCAGTTAGTAATCACTTTATGGACACTTCTTATTAAAACCAGTGGCACTGTTTGCATGCCTGGTCTCTATAACCACTACTACTACATGTATTTTATAGTTACTCTGTGACAAGTACATTTCAGTTGAAGGCCTTATTATCTGCAACTGTTAGACATAAGGAGGTTTTTTCTAAGTCTGAATGTATTGATATTTGATGGTTTCTTTTAAAAAATTGCATAAAAATTAAGATCCTAAATTAGACAGTGTTAGAGGGATGAAGCACTGGCTATCAGAACTGTTGAGTACTCACAGAAGACTGCATTATTTTATTTATATTATTCATGCATCTAGTTCATAGTAGGTGGCTGGAATCAGTAATTAATAATTTTGTATCCATTAGTTCAGCGTGTATCACTCTTTCATCATATGAGAGGAAGAAAAAAGCTAGTATATTTGTATGTGTGTACACATCTGCATGGGTTATCTGTCTTCCAAATTTTTCGGAAAGCAAGTGGCTCTAAAAGGTGTTTTGAATGAAATCTGCTATCCTTAATTTACCTGATGGGCTCAGTGGCGTTAGGGGTCTATATTCCTTGTCTTTGGGAATATGGGAAGTCTTGGAATTTTTAAATTGCTGTTATGTCTATATGAATGTTTCTTGGGAAAAACAGGCTTTCTTTGTAGGACACAAGTGCAAAGAAGATTGGCATAATGAACCTAAGTTGCTTGACTGTGAACTAAGCTATCAGAGTTTTGGTTTTTTGTGACATGCTTAGTTAATTATCTTGTAAAACCAGAAGGCTGTTTTTTTCTAGTAAATGGATCCAATGTTCCAAATATGAATGCTTACAGGGCCAATCAAACAAGCACACAAATAAAACCTCTCTCATTCCCCAAAGAAGTAATTGTTAAGCTGTACAAGAAGTGTTGTGTATCTTTTAAATAATGTTTTGTACACTCTGGTGATAGACCTTTAGATAATGAAATGAAATATTTGGGACACAGAGTTCTATGTATCTTCTCCAAAGCCTGCACTTCATGTAATGGCTCTTAAATTACAAAATTATGTAATAGATTGAAATGTAAGTTATTCAACAAGAACGTCCTTGCTCTGAATGTCTTCTAAAGCCCCATGCAAGTAGTGAAAATCAGACTTAATTTGTAGGCATTTGTTAAATTCTTGAGGACTGTAACAAGAATTACTACAATAGTTTGAAAATGTCACTTGAGATGGATAAATAATGAAAAAAGTGCAGTATCTTGAAAAGTAAAATGATATGGTTGCTGTAGCTTTGAAACACATTGACCTGCTATTTAATTGCTGTGAAGGATCTTATGTCACAAAGTTGTGGTTTGTTACTTAGTTAACTTTGAAAGTGGAAAATACAGTATTATTTTCAAGCACCTGAAACACATGAGAACAGGATTTAAGGTGTGCTGTTCTGTCTGTGCCTGAATGCTCCCACTGAAGACAAAAAGTGGAACTGTATGTGAAGCCTCCAATAAATACAGGATATAAGGTAAAAAGGAGCATCTGAAATAACATGAAATTCCTAATTGTAGTAGTCTTGCTTGGCAGATGACTATTTAAGTTAACCAGTAAAGGTTATCAACTCTTCATAAAATACAAAATTGAGTTGTGCTACACCTTTAGGAAGAGGATAATGTTCTCTTAACTCTCTCTTCTGAAAGAGGTTATTGGCTCACAGAAAAAGTGGTCATTCAGAAGATTCCTTCTGAATTGTCTCCAGTACTTTTACATCAGATATGTAATTAATGCTTATGGCAAGCAATTTGATCTAAAAACCAATGCATAAAGTCCCCCAATAAATCAGATAAGGTTTAAATGTTCATACATAAAAAATTAAGCATTGGTATACTCTCACAATGAATTTCTTCTATTTGGAGATGCAGAAGGGTAAGAACTGGTATGAAAGAAACTTCTTGAAGCAAATTTAGGTACCTCAGACTAGCTTTGCAATAGCAATAGGATGTGTAATGTATACTTCGTGTATAAGTGCTTGATTCCTGAACAGGGAAAGGCTAACAACATACAAATCAGTGGCTTTGCCTTGCATACCTAGGTTATGCTCTGTATCTACTGTTGCAGGTTGGTTTTACAGGAGGTACAGGAGCTGTTTAAACATAGCAGAGGAGCACTGACTTTATGGACAATGTCCCAGGTGTTCCTATACACAGAAGTAACAGATTTATTCAGGGAGTGTCAGTGAAAAAAAGTGGCAACAAGGAACTAGCTGTGGCTGTCAGAATCACATCCACTCTGTGTCCGAAAGACATGCATACAGCTGTGTGATCAGCCAGCCACTGATGTTCACACATAGTAGCTGCCTGCAGATGTACAATTAGGGAAAGAGTAACCATTTTCTGTGTCATGGGAACTACCCTGACCTCTGTCTTCAAAGTCTCCATTTGCATATTTTATTAATTGGCCCTATTTTTGACTTTTGGTCAGTATTTGGCATGGTGGGCCTCTTCCTCCTCTAGTATCTGGTTGCTAAAGGCTGTGATGTTACATCTGGATGTTGGTTTGGAAGAGAACTGATATTCACAGATGAACTTGTGTTGCTGTTTTACAGGATTTATATGAATTAGGGAATCAAAATGGGCAAGTTTTGTGAGTGACTTTAATGAGGATGTGCATATTTAATGTGTTTATGTAGTGTATGAAAAAGCAGGTGTGAGGATGAGACTATAGGCAGGCTTCTGCTGTAAAAGGGGTAGACATACATGTATCTGTCAGTATTTATAGGTCTTAGGAGAATGCATTTCTTTATGTGCTGCCCTTCACCTGAGATGTAAGATTGACCTGACTGTTGGAAATCCCTTGCATATTAAGAAAATTTTAGTTTGTTATAACCAGGGAGTTGAGTAGGTGAACCTATCTATGTTTTTCATTACTAAGCTCTTCCTTAATTTTGAAAGGTACTATACACTTGTGGTGTACTTTTTCTCCTCCAGGTGGGTTTCAGATGGGTAAGTTTTCACTTTGTCTCATCTGTCTGTGTCTGTCTCCCTCTCTTTTTGTCTCTCTGTGTGCCACACACTCTCGTTCTCTGCTGCACGTTGTCTCTCCCTGTGTCCTGCGTGCACACTCTGCACTGCATGTGTACTCTCTGCCGCACGCTTGCTTGCTGCTGTGTGCACACTGCTGCACGAGCACGCGTTCTCTGCTGCTCTCCCTCTCCCTGCCGTGCCTGCTCTCTCTGCTGGGCGCTTGTGCTTTCTC